ATTAATAAAAAAACTCAGGGGGGGAACCCGGTTTGGCTGGGATGGTACGGTTTCATATTTAGGATGGACGGGTGCGCAGAACATATATATATATATGAAATCATATTATCCCAGGGGGAACCCATAAGTGTGGGGGGGAGGGGGGGGGAGAGTCTCTTTTTAGAAAGGAGAATCGATGTGATACACAATATGTGGTGCAACCCACATGGTGCATTCTATGCTGTGCAATCAGTTTCTGTTCGCAGTGAGTTGTCCACTCCACTGCTTGCGCAAACATCCCACCCACCCACCCGCAACTTGGTTCGCAAAATCTCTCAAGACCGTGACGGTGGGTACCAAATGGCACTTGGTAACAACAGCGACGCCGACGACGACAGCGACAACGACGACGACGACGCCGACAACGAGTACGACGACACCGACGACGTCTCCAACGACTTCGACGACGCCGACAACGACGACGACGACGACGACGGCGACGACGACACCGACGACGACGACGACGCCGACGCCGACGACGATGACAACGACGACGACGACGACGCCGACGACGACGATAACGACGACACCGACGACGACGACGACGTCAACGACGCCGACGACGACGACGACGACGACGGCGGCGGCGGCGACGACGACGCCAACGTCGTCGACGACGACGACGACAACGACGCCGACGCCGACGACGAAGACGACGACGACGTCGCCAACGAAGACAACGAGGAAGGAGGGAGGACGACGACGCGACAACGACGACAACGACGAGGGAGGAGGGAGGACGGCGACGACGCGAACGACGAAAAATGAGGAAGGACGGCGACGCCGACGACGGCAACGACGAGGGAGGAGGGAAGACGACGACGACGACGACGACGACGACGACGACGGCGACGAAATAGGAGGGACGACGACGAGACGCCGACGACGGACGACGACGACGACGAGGGAGGAGGAGGAAGGACGACTTCGGCGACAACGACGACGGAAACGACCACGACGCCAAAGAGGACGACGACGACGAACACGAGGAAAGACATAGGACGACGTAGGCGACGACGACGACGACGACAACGACGCGGGAGAAGGGAGGACGGCGACGACGACGACGACGACGACGACGGAAGAGCGCGCGCGCACGCTTTAATTGGAAATCCGTGTTGCGAAGCCTTGTGTTTTTGAAGGTTTTTTGGACACACGATTTTGACACCCTTCCGACATCGATCGGTTTTGAAGGTTTTCGGCATACGCGCGCGACGACGCGCGCGTCTGCATTTCGTCCCGTTTTTTTGCAGGGGATTCTCGCGACGGCACACGCGCAAGGGCGTTCGACAGATTTCGGCATGAGCGCGCGCGAAGCCCGTGTGGTAGCATTTTGTGAAAGTCTTGAAAAAAAACAATGGTTTTCTCAAGATTTCGCAAAAGCTTTCGCGGAAGCTTTTTTTAGCAACTCTTGTGTTGCGAAACCATGCGTTGTTGTATGTTTTTTTGGGAAGTTCGATTGCGAAATCCTTCCCGCACCGAGGGTTGTCGAAAGATGTCGGCAGGCGTTGGCGACGAGGCGCGCGTGTGCACTTCGTCTCATCTGTTGCAAGGGATTCGCAAAAAAGTACTACGTTAGAACAAAAAATGTCACCGCAGGGAACCTCAGGGGGGGGGGGGAACCCGGTTTGACTGGGATGGTACGGTTTCATGTTTAGGACGGACGAGTGTGCAGAATATATATATATATACTTATATATATATGAAATCATACTATCCCAGGGGGGACCGATAAGTTCGGGGGGGAATCTATTAATCTTTTAGAAAAGAGAATCCATTCTGCTGAACTTGAAGTCGTCATCTTCACTGTTCGCGCAAACACCCCACCCACCCACCCGCAACTTGGCTTGCAAAACCTCTTAAGACCGACTACGGCGACAACGGCTACGACGACACCGACGACGTCTCCTCTCCGACGACTTCGACGACGACAACGACGCCGACGCCGACGACGACGAAAACGACGACGACGACGCCAACGAAGGCGACGACGAGGGAGGAGGAAGGACGACGACGGCGACAACGACGACAACGACGACAACGACGAGGGAGGAGGGAGGACGGCGACGACGCGAGCGACGAAGAAGGAGGAAGGACGGCGACGCCGACGACGACAACGACGAGGGAGGAGGGAAGACGACGACGACGACGACGACGACGACGACGGCGACGAAATAGGACGGACGACGACGAGACGCCGACGACGGACGACGACGACGAGGGATGAGGAGGAAGGACGACCACGGCGACAACGACGACGGAAACGACCACGACGCCGAAGAGGACGACGACGACGAACACGAGGAAAGACAGAGGACGACGTAGGCGACGACGACGACGACGACGCGGGATGAGGGAGGACGGCGACGACGACGACGACGACGCAAAAGCGCGCGCGCACGCTTTTGTTGAAAATCCGTGTTGCGAAACGTTGTGTTTTTGAAGGTTTTTTGGACACGATTCTGCAATCCTTCCGAAAACAATGGGTTTTGAAGGTTTTCGGCCTGCGCGCGCGACGACGCGCGCGTCTGCATTTCGTCCAGTTTTTTTGCAGAGGATTCTCGCGACGGCACACGCGCAAGGGCGTTCGACAGATTTCGACTTGCGCGCGCGAAGCCCGTTTGGTAGCATTTTGTGAAAGTCTTGAAAAAAAACATGGTTTTCTTTAGATTTCGCAAGAGCTCGCGCGGGAGTTTTTTTTTTACCAACTCTGTGTTGCGAAACCATGCGTTTGTGTATGTTTTTTTTGGTAACTCGATTGCGAATCCCTTCTGACACCGAAGGTTTTTGAAGGATTTCGGCATGCACGCGCGACGACGCGCGCGTGTGCATTACGTTTCATTTGTTGCAAGGGGTTCGTGAAAAAGTGCGATGTTAGAACAAAACATGTCACCGCATAGTGTTTTTAAAAAGGGAACCTCAGGGGGGGGAGCCCGGTTTGGCTGGGATGGTATGGTTTCATATTTAGGATGGACGCGTGTGCAGAATCTATATGAAATCCTATTATCCCAGGGGGCGCGATAACTCCGGGGGGGGTAGAGTCTAGTCTCTTTATAGAAAGGGGAATCTAGGTTGTGCAATATGTATTGTGCAACCTGTATGGTGCAATCTGGCGGCGACGATCGGCGACGGCGGCGGTGGGGCGGCGACGGCGGCAACATAGCCGCCAGACGCACAGGCAGGCCCAGTTACGGGCGGCGACGGGGCGGCGACGGCCACAACAGAGCCGCCAGACCGATACACAGGCACAGTTCCTTAGAAAAGAAATAAGAACCCCTAAGTGCAAGCACTGTTTGGAGATAAACGTCGAGCACGCCAAGCACCCCTGTGACGAATGCAGAGGGCTGCGGATCAATCTGCCAGCGGCAAGTTCCGCCACCGTGCCAGCCCAGCATTCTGAGTGGCGACTGTTCGAGGGGGCACGGGAGGCCGTCACGTGTGACACCTCGTGTTCCCAGGCTTGGGAGGGCTGTGATGAGGATGATGGGGGTGAGCATGAGGCTGAGGCTGAGGATGAGGATGGGGATGAGGATGAGGATGAGGATGAGGATGATGATGAGGATGATGATGATGATGATGATGATGACGAGGAGGACGAGGAGGACGAGGAGGAGGATGATATGATGATGATGATGATGATGCTGATGATGATGATGATGCTGATGCTGATGCTGATGCTGATGCTGATGATGATGATGATGATGATGATGGTGGTGGTGGTGGTGGTGGTGGTGATGATGATGATGATGCTGATGATGATGATGATGAAAATGGTAATGCTGATGATGATGATGGCGAGGAGGAAGAGGAGGAGGAGGAGGAGTAGGAGGAGGAGCAGGAGGCGGCGGAGAAGGAGAAGGAGGAAGAGAACGGCTGTCACAGTTGACACCTTTCACTTTCATCTCTTGCGGAGCCCTAATGGAGTTCATTTGACTGGTCTTGGGGCTACCTTGGTCTCCTGTGGGGCAGTCTTCAGGGCTCCTTGGGACCGTCTTGGGGCCGTCTTGGGGCTCTTCGGCCGTCTTGGGGCTCTCTTGGGCCGTTTCTTGGGGCGATCTTGGCCGTATCGGGGGGTGTCTGGGGACCGTCTCGGGGCAGTCTTTGGCCGTCGAAAGGCCTTCTAAGGTCGTCTTGGATCCCCCTGGGGACCCTCTTGGGCCGTGTTGGGGCCGTCCGTCTTGGATACCATTTGGGCCATCGTGGAGTCCTAGTGGGCCATCTTGAGACCCTCTGGGGGGCCTCTCTGGCCGTCTTGGGGCCATGTGGGATGCTTCTTGGGCCGTCTTGAGTTGAGAGACGCTCACACACCTAAGGGAGCTCAACGGTTTGGGCGTCTTCGGACCCTGTGGGGGGTCCTCTTGTGGCCCTCCAAGGCCCTCTTGGGCCGCCTTGGGGCCATCCTGGGCCGTCTTCGAGGCATCTTGGGCCATCTTGGCGGCCTTGGTTGCCTGCCTGGGCCGTCTTGGAACCTCGGGAGGCGGATCCATAGTTTGTTACCTGGGATCGTGGCCTCTGGAGCGCAAATGTTTCATCGTCTTTTGCCCAGAGATCGTGGCCTCGGGAGGGGGGACGAAAATTATCCTGGCGAGGGACCCAACCATGTGCAGTTGTGAGTGACGCAGTTGTGGGTATCGACCTCGGTGAACCTCTCTGGGGTCACGACGCGTGTGACGGGTGTGCCAAAATTGGCACGGGTACGCCATGCGGACGTTGCCACCAGAGCCGTCGGTGGAGCGACCTATGGGGCCGCGGAACGTGCAAGGGGTGCGCCGAAATGGGGGGTGGAACTGCATGCGGACCCTGCCACTGGCCTCTGGAGCGCAAATGTTTCATCGTCTTGTGGCCTCGGGAGGGGGGGACAAAAAAAACACATATGTTACCTGACAGCCCTTGGCATGCTACCACGCCTCAACGTACCAGGGTGCACGGTGGCGGATTCACCGTCACCTTTGCCGTTGGAGCTGCCAGCACTCCCGCGCCGAGCCTGCGTGGATCGTCCAACGACCCGCAGCGAAGCTGCGCCTTCTGGGACGGCTTGGACATCCAGGGCAGCGTGTGCCCGCAGCAGTGGCAGGGCCAGTACGCCGGGACTGCTTCGTGCAAGTCGTGCTGGGAGGGAGAGGACTGCGGGTGGACTTGCGACTTGACGGACGGCACCAAGGCCAGCGTCGATTTGCAGGCGTACGTCCACGCGTCTCACGGAGAGGGCTACTGCGCTCGGAACCCGTCCAACGACCCGTGCCTCGGCTGGCAGGTGTTCGGCGATGGCTGCACCGATTGTGCAGCCAACGGCATGAGCAGCAGCGCCCAGGCGTCTGCTTCCCTGCAGTCCACCGACGCGCAGCGAAGCTGCGCTTTCTGGGACGGCTTGGACATCCAGGGCAGCGTGTGCCCGCAGCAGTGGCAGGGCCAGTACGCCGGGACTGCCTCGTGCAAGTCGTGCTGGGAGGGAGAGGACTGCGGGTGGACTTGCGACCTGATGGACGGCACCAAGGCCAGCGTCGACCTGCAGGCGTACGTCCACGCGTCTCACGGAGAGGGCTACTGCGCTCGGAACCCGTCCAACGACCCGTGCCTCGGCTGGCAGGTGTTCGGCGATGGCTGCACCGATTGTGCAGCCAACGGCATGAGCAGCAGCGCCCAGGCGTCTGCTTCCCTGCAGTCCACGACGCAGCAAGCTGCGCCTTCTGGGACGGCTTGGACATCAAGGGCAGCGTGTGCCCGCAGCAGTGGCAGGGCCAGTACGCCGGGACTGCCTCGTGCAAGTCGTGCTGGGAGGGAGAGGACTGCGGGTGGACTTGCGACCTGACGGACGGCACAAAGGCCGGCGTCGACCTGCAGGCGTACGTCCACGCGTCTCACGGAGAGGGCTACTGCGCTCGGAACCCGTCCAACGACCCGTGCCTCGGCTGGCAGGTGTTCGGCGATGGCTGCACAGATTGTTAGGAAGTCGGGTCGCCTCAACCCTCCTGCATGCAAGCAGCTGGTCCATCCGAGTAGAGCTGCTCTTAACGGGCCCAGGGGGGCGCGCCTCGTTCGTCGCGCCGACAGCGCGCGACGCCGTACAGCTTGTGTGAGGGAATTTGACGTGCAGAGCGAGTGTTCTGGAAGCTTCAGTGTCCACGGTGGCAAAGATGAAGACATTCGCGTCATCCAGTTGTTCGGAGGTTGATAGAACCCGCACGTTGCCAAGTCGATTAGCGAATTGCCATTTGTTGGTTCTCGAGAAGGTTTGCGGCCGCATGTTCGCGGGCTTGCGCCCGCCAGGTGTGGTCCCCGGGTCGTTTTCACTACAGGGTGTTTTGCGGAAGGGGGTTTTGCCCCTGAGTTGCAATCTATGTGATGTATGCGATGTGGTGCAATGTGTGTGTTGCACTCTATACGTGTGGTGCAAGATGTTTGGTGCAGCATGCACAGTGCACTCTGCGCAGTGCATGCCATTCGATGCAAGCGATGGGGCGCCATCTGCGTGGTGCAATCTGTGGGGTGTGAGCAATGTGTGCTTCGAGCCGCCAGCAAACCGTATTAGGTGCAGCATTCGGGGTGCACTCTGCGTAGTGCATGCCGTTCGATGCAAGCCATGGGGCGCCATCTGCGTGGTGCAATCTACTGAGCGCCATCTGCGTGGTGCAATCTATGGGGTGTGAGCAATGTGCGCTTCGAGCCGCCAGCCAACGGACGGGGACGCCCACGAGGCGCCCACGGACGGCGGCCAGGCGAAACCCTGGCAACCCAGCCAAGGCGCGAGGCGCCCCCACGGGCGGCGCCAGCCCACGAGGCGCCCGCGGGCGGCGACCCGGCGAGCGCTGCGTGAACCCGCCCGAGCACTTGTGCAGAAGCCGCGCAAGCTGCTGCTAAAGTTCTGGCCATCCCTGCTGACGTGGGACCCCCTGCCCCCCTGCAGAGTCCTGCAATGTGGGACCGGGCTGTGGCGGAGTGGGTGTCGGCCCCACACCCGGTTTTGTTTTTCTTTGGGGGGGGGTACTGTATGTGCATAGCGGTGTGGAAATTTCCCCCGCCCGTTTTTCCACATGGAGAGCTTACACCACCGCCGGGGTGGTTCACTCCGTTTTATGACTACGGCGAGCGGGTTCTTGTGTTCTGGGACACCTCGCCTCATCGCAGCATCACTTGAGGAAGCGCTCTCTCCGCGCATCTCGATTCACAAGCGCGCCGTGACAGAGGTCACAACCATGAGCCACGCTGCAGTAGTGCAAGCACTGTTCGGGGAAAAAAACGCTGAATCGGAAGTCTGTGTCGACGGCGGCGCCCCCCGGCCCTGTCTGCGTCTCCTCGTCGTCAGCGGCGGGCGCTTTTCAGCGTCTGGTGACCTGGGTCTCCGATCTGGCCCGATCCGGCGCAGCCCCAGGCCGGTTTGGCATCGATCCGACTCGAGAAAGTCTTCGATCCGAGCTCTGGTTTGTGATTTTGGAGCCGACGCGGCGACTGCCGACTTGGCCCCGATTCCATCAGTTACGACGGGGTTCCGACCTCGACCCGGCTTCCCGATCCAAAGCTGGCCCCATGTTGGGCGGCCCTCGGGGCCGTGGGGGAGGCTCCGCTGGTGCGCTCATGTTCGTGATCATTGAGTCTCGGGTGTGTGCTTGTTTCGAATTGGAAGTGAGAAAAGAGTAAGGAGGAAGCGGAGGAGGGAAGAAGGAGGATGAGAATGCACGAGGAGGGAGGAGGGAGGAGGGAGGGGGAGGAGGGAGGAGAGGAGAGATGGGAGAGGATGTGTGAGGGAGGGAAGGTGGAAGGTTGGCTCTGTGTCGATCCTGTTTCTGCGTCTAGATCCGACATTCTCTGTGCCCCAGCCATGCCACACTTGGTGACTGCGGCGCTATCTTCATCCGTCGCTCTTTTGACTCGAGTGTCTTGCTGGGTGATCAACTCTGTCCCACTCTTCACATCACCTGACAAGTTTGACCCATGGCAGGGTCGATTTTATCCAAGGCGCCCACGGCGAACCACCGCCGCCCCCTGCCCTCTGGAAACGCCCATGCGGCCAAACGTGGGCTAAATTCTGATCAAGCTATTGGACTATGTGTGTTTCCCAGCCGTTGTGGAACCCATTGGGGGAACAGTCGGGAGAGAAAGAGAAAGGAAGAGGAGAGGAATGAGGAGGATGACGAAGAGAAGGAAGGGGAAAAGAAGTCCTGTCGAGGCCGTCTTGGGGCTTCCTGCGAGCTTCCTGGGAGCCTCTTGGAGGCCTCGTCGGGGCCTCTTGGGGGCCTGCTGGGCCTTCTTGTGAGCCTTCTCGGGGCCTCTGAGGGCTTTGGGGGCCTCAGAGGAACCTCTTGGCCTTCGGAGGCCGCCTTGGGAGCCTCTCTGGGCGGTTGTGGGGCCGTCTTGTGGGCCTCTTGGGCTGTCTTGGGGCCCTCTTGGCCCGTCCTGCGGGCCTTAGAGGCCTCCTGGGTCGTCTTGGAGAATCTTGGGGGCATATGGAGCCGGCCTGGAGAGCCCGAAGCCCGAAAGGGCGAAAACACTTATCATCACTGGAAGACCTGAGTCCAAGCAGTAACTTTTTGACCTCCTGGAGTTCCTCTTGGAGCACTCTTGGGACCGCTTTGGGGTCATATTGGCCGTCTTGGAGGCGTCTCGGAGGCCATCTTAGAGGGCAAGAAGTTGGTTTCCGGTTTTTCTGTGTGGCCGGCGGGTTGTGCCAGAGGGTGGTGGGAATCTTGTGGGAGGCTGCACAACAATATCTTAGCCAGCATGGACCCCAAACAGTGTGTCTCTCGCAATACATGTGGTGTTGTTTATGTGGGGCACTATATGTGATGCGACCACGTGCAATCTAGGTGGTGCAGTTTACGCTGTGCAAACAGTTTTAGGAGCATACGATGTGCAATATATGTGGTGCTACAAGCGAGTTGGCACAATCCATGCTCTTGCAAGCATCCCACCCAGCCACCCGCAACTTGGTTTGCAAAACCCATGCGGCGGCGATTGCGATGCATGCTTGGCGCTGGCTTGTGCATCTCTGTGGCCGCGCTAGCCCGCGCATGCTTGCGCGCACAGCGGCCAGCTAGTTTGGCACGTTCGACGCGGCCGCGGTGTCGCTGACCCTTGGGCACTTCACTGCGGGCACTTCAGTGCGAGTCGGTGACTTGGGCGGGCGCGGTATCATGGCGACGCTGACAAAGGTAGACATGATTTCGAGAGCAGCGGTGGTGACGGAGGTGGCGATGACGATGGCAAAGCCAATGACGGTGCCGTTGTTGATCACGCCCGCCGATACCCATGATGATGTCCTCGCGTTTGCGGTGAAGGTTTTTGAAGGAGTTCGACATGAGCGCGCGCGGCCGATGCATGCGATTGGCCCGCGCAGCATTACTTGGCACGGAGCATGCCCCCCCCCAAACGTGCGCGCAAGGGCGTCCGGATGACTTCGACATCTGGCGCGAGAGGCCCGCTTGGCAGAATTTGATGAACATGTGGAAAACCAATGGTTGTAGCGCGAGCGCAAGTTTTTGTTGACATCTGATGTTGCAAAAGCGTGTGTTTATATGGTTTCGGGGCAGTCGGTTGCGAAAACCCCTACGAAACCCAAGGTCGTTTAAAATAATTTCGGCATGCGCGCGCGACGACGCGCGCGGCCACGGGGCCATAATTTGATGCAAATTGCATATCGCGAGAGGGGGATTGTTGAGTCCAGCTTCGGTATGGGGGGTATAATTCATTTGTATTATTCTTCTGGCACTGGAAACGAGAGTCCATGTGACGCAAATGTGTGGGACAACCGGTGTTGTGCAATGTATATATGTATGTACATATGGAGTAATCTTCGTGGTGCAGTATTTGTGGTGCGATCTATGTTGTGCTATTTATGTTGTACAGCAGAGGTGGTGCAATACGTGTTGTGCAACATATGTGGTGCAATATATGTCGTGCAATCGACGTGATACACCATGTGTGGTGCAACCCACATGGTGTATTCTATGCTGTGCAATCTGTAGTGAGCCCTATGTGTGGTGCAAGCTATGTTGTGCAATATGTGGTGTGCAACCTATGTGGAGCAATATCGGTGGTGAAACAGATGCGATGCAAGCTACATGATGCAATCTAGGATGTGCAATATATGTTGGTCACTCTACGTTGTGCAATATCTGATGTGCTATCTAGGTTGTACCACCCATGTGGGGCAGTATATGTGATGCACTCATTGTGGTGCAAGTTATGGCCTGCAATCTATGTTGCGCAATCTATGTGGTGCAATCTAGGTTGTGCAATATGTATTGTGCAACCTGCATGGTCCAATCTGGCGGCGACGAACGGCGACGGCGGCGGCGGGGCGGCGACGGCGGCAACATAGCCGCCAGACGCACAGGCAGGCCCAGTTACGGGCGGCGACGGGGCGGCGACGGCCACAACAGAGCCGCCAGACCGATACACAGGCCCAGTTCCTTAGAAAAGAAATAAGAACCCCTAAGGGCAAACACTGTTTGGGGAAAAACGTCGAGCACGCCAAGCACCCCTGCGATGAATGCAGAGGGCTGCGGATCAATCTGCCAGCGGCAAGTTCCGCCACCGTGCCAGCCCAGCATTCTGAGCGGCGACTGTTCGAGGTGGCACGGGAGGCCGTCACGTGTGACACCTCGTGTCGCCAGGCTTGGGAGGGCCGTGATGAGGATGATGAGGGTGATGATGATGATGATGATGATGATGATGATGATGATGATGATGTTGATGATGTTGATGATAATGATGATGATGATGAGGAGGAGGAGGAGGAGGAGGAGGAGGAGGAGGAATAGGAGGAGGAGGAGCAGGAGGGGGCGGAGGAGGAGAAGGAGGAAGAGAAAGGCTGTCACATGTGACACCTTTCATTTTCAGTTCTTGAGGAGCCCTAATGGAGATCATTTGACCGGTCTTGGGGCTACCTTGGTCTCTTGTGGGGCAGTCTTCAGGGCTCCTTAGGACCGTCTTGGGGCCGTCTTGGGGCTCTTCGGCCGTCTTGGGGCTCTCTTGGGCCACTTCTTGGGGCGATCTTGGCCGTACGGGGGGGTGTCTGGGGGCCGTCTCGGGGCAGTCTTTGGCCGTCGAAGGGCCTTCTAAGGTCGTCTTGGATCCCCCTAGGGACCTTCTTGGGCCGTGTTGGGTCCATCTTGGATGCCACTTGGGCCATCGTGGAGTCCTAGTGGGCCATCTTGAGACCCTTTGGGGGCCTCTTAGGCCGTCTTGGGCCCATATGGGATGTTTCTTGGGCCGTCTTGAGCTGCGAGAGGCTCGAAGAGGCGAGAATGCGAACATTTGTCAAACACCTAGGGAGCTCAACGGTTTGAGCGTCTTCGGACCCTGTTGGGGGTCCTCTTGTGGTCCTCCGAGGTCCTCTTGGGCCGCCTTGGGGCCATCCTGTGCCGTCTTCGAGGCATCTTGGGTTATTTGGGCAGCCTTGGTTGCCTGCCTGGGTCTTGGAAACTTGGGAGGCGGATCCATAGTTTATTACCTGGGATCGTGGCCTCTGGAGCGCAAACGTTTTATCGTCTTTTGCCCAGAGATCGTGGCCTCGGGAGGGGGGAACGAAAAAAAACACAATGTTACCTGACAGCCTTTGGCATACTACCACGCCTCAACGTGCCAGGGTGCATTGTGGCGGATTCACCGTCACCTTGACCGTTCGAGCTGCCAGCACTCCCGCGCCGAGCCTGCGTGGATCGTCCACCGACCCGCAGCGAAGCTGCGCCTTCTGGGGCGGTTTGGACATCAAGGGCAGCGTGTGCCCGCAGCAGTGGCAGGGCCAGTACGCCGGGACTGCCTCGTGCAAGTCGTGCTGGGAGGGAGAGGACTGCGGGTGGACTTGCGACCTGACAGACGGCACCAAGGCCGGCGTCGACCTGCAGGCGTACGTCCACGCGTCTCACGGAGAGGGCTACTGCGCTCGGAACCCGTCCGACGACCCGTGCCTCGGCTGGCAGGTGTTCGGCGATGGCTGCACCGATTGTGCAGCCAACGGCATGAGCAGCAGCGCCCAGGCGTCTGCTTCCCTGCAGTCCACCGACGCGCAGCGAAGCTGTTCCTTCTGGGACGGCTTGGACATCAAGGGCAGCGTGTGCCCGCAGCAATGGCAGGGCCAGTACGCCGGGACTGCCTCGTGCAAGTCGTGCTGGGAGGGAGAGGACTGCGGGTGGACGTGCGACCTGACAGACGGCACCAAGGCCAGCGTCGACCTGCAGGCGTACGTCCATGCGTCTCACGGAGAGGGCTACTGCGCTCGGAACCCGTCCAACGACCCGTGCCTCGGCTGGCAGGTATTCGGCGATGGCTGCACCGATTGTGCAGCCAGCGGCATGAGCAGCAGCGCCCAGGCGTCTGCTTCCCTGCAGTCCACCGACCCGCAGCGAAGCTGCGCCTTCTGGGACGGCTTGGACATCAAGGGCAGCGTGTGCCCGCAGCAGTGGCAGGGCCAGTACGCCGGGACTGCCTCGTGCAAGTCGTGCTGGGAGGGAGAGGACTGCGGGTGGACGTGCGACCTGACGGACGGCACCAAGGCCAGCGTCGACCTGCAGGCGTACGTCCACGCGTCTCACGGAGAGGGCTACTGCGCTCAGAACCCGTCCAACGACCCGTGCCTCGGCTGGCAGGTTTTCGGCGATGGCTGCACCGATTGTGCAGCCAACGGCATGAGCAGCAGCGCCCAGGCGTCTGCTTCCCTGCAGTCCACCGACGCGCAGCGAAGCTGCGCCTTCTGGGATGGCTTGGACATCAAGGGCAGCGTGTGCCCGCAGCAGTGGCACGGCCAGTATGCCGGGACTGCCTCGTGCAAGTCGTGCTGGGAGGGAGAGGACTGCGGATGGATTTGCGACCTGACGGACGGCACCAAGGCCAGCGTCGACCTGCAGGCGTACGTCCACGCGTCTCACGGAGAGGGCTATTGCGCTCGGAACCCGTCTAACGACCCGTGCCTCGGCTGGCAGGTGTTCGGCGATGGCTGCACCGATTGTTAGGAAATCGGGTCGCCTCAACCCTCCTGCATGCAAGCAGCTGGTCCATCCGAGTAGAGCTGCTCCTAACGGGCCCAGAGGGGCTCGCCTCGTTCGTCGCGCCGACAGTGCGCGACGCCGTACAGCTTGTGTAAGGGAATTTGACGTGCAGAGCGAGTGTTCTGCAAGCTTCAGTGTCCACGGTGGCAAAGATGAAGACATTCGAGTCATCCAGTTGGTCGGAGGTTAATAGAATCCGCACGTTGCCAAGTCGATTAGCGAATTGCCATTCGTTGGTTTTCGAGAAGGTTGCGGCCGCATGTTTGCGGGCTTGCGCGCCCGCCAGGTGTGGTCCCCGGGTCGTTTTCACTACAGGGTGTTTTGCGGAAGGGGGTTTTGCCCCTGAGTTGCAATATGTGTGATGTATGCGATTTGGTGCAATGCATGTGTTGCACTCTATACGTGTGGTGCAAAATGTTTGGTGCAGCATTTACGGTGCACTCTGTGCAGTGCATGCCATTCGATGCAAGCTATGGGGCGCCGTCTGCGTGGTGCAATCTGTGGGGTGTGAGCAATGCGTGCTTCGAGCCACCAGCAAACCGTATTAGGTGCAGCATTTGGGGTGCACTCTGCGTAGTGCATGCCATTCGATGCAAGCTATGGGGCACCATCTGCGTGGTGCAATCTATTGAGCGCAATTTGCGTTTGCAATCTATGGGGTGTGAACAGTGTGTGCTTCGCGCCGCCAGCCAACGGACTGGGACGCCCACGAGGCGCCCACGGACGGCGGCCAGGCGAAACCCTGGCAACCCAGCCAAGGCGCGAGGCGCCCCCACGGGCGGCGCCAGCGCACGAGGCGCCCGCGGGCGGCGACCCGGCGAACGCTGTGTGAACCCGCCCGAGCACTTGCGCAGAAGCCGCGCAAGCTGCTGCTAAAGATCTGGCCATCCCTGCAGACGTGGGACCCCTGCCCCCCTGCAGAGTCCTGCAATGTGGGACCAGGCTGTGGCGGAGCAGGTTTCGGCCCCACACCCGGCTTTGTTTTTCTTTGGGGGGGGTTATTGATTGTATGTGCATCGCGGTGTGGAAATTTCCCCCGCCCGTTTTTCCACATGGGGAGCTTACACCACCGCCGGGGTGGTTCACCCCGTTTTATGACTACGGCGAGCGGGTTCCTGTGTTCTGGGACACCTCGACTCATCGCAGTATCGCTTGAGGAAGCGCTCTCTCCGCGCATCTCGATTCACAAGCGCGCCGTAACAGAGGTCACAACCATTAGCCACGCTGTAGTAGTGCAAGCACTGTTCGGGGAAGGAACGCGGGATCGGAAGTCTGTGTCGAAGGGGGCGCCCCCCGGCCCTGTCTGCGTCTATTCGTCGTCAGCAGCGGGCGCTTTTCAGCGTCTGGTGACAAGGGTCTCCGATCTGGCCCGATCCGGCGCAGCCCCAGGCCGGTTCGGCATCGATCCGACTCGAGAAAATCTTCGATTCGAGCTCTGGTTTGTGATTTTGGAACCGACGCGGCGATTGCCGACTTGGCCCCGATTCCATCACTGACGACGGGGTTCCGACCTCGACCCGGCTTCCCGATCCAAAGCTGGCCCCTATTGGGCGGCCCTCGGGGCCGTGGGGGAGGCTCCGCTGGTGCGCTCATGTTCGTGATCATTGAGTCTTGGGTGCGTGCTTGTTTCGAACTGGAAGTGAGAAAAGAGTAAGGGGAAGCGCAGGAGGGAAGAAGGAGGATGAGAAGTGACGAGAGGGAGAAGGGGGGAAGAGGAGGAGGGAGGAATAGGGAGCGAAGAGGAGGATGTGGTGAATGAGGTAAGTTGAAAGGTTGGCTCTGTGTCGAACCTGTTTCTGGCGTCTAGATCCGACAATCTCTGTGCCCCAGCCAAGCCACATTTGGTGACTAGTAAGTGCGGCGCTATCTTCATACCGTTTGCTCATTTGACTCGAGTGTCTTGCCTGGGTGATCAGACTCTGTCCCACTCTTCACATCACCTGACAAGTTTGACCCATGGCAGGGTCGATTTTGTCCAAGGCGCCTACGGCGAACCACCGCCGCCCCCTGCCCTCTGGAAACGCCCATGCGGCCAAACACAAGCTAAATTCTGACCAAGCTATTGGACTATGTGTGTTTCCCAGCCGTTGTGGAACCCATTGGGGGAACAGTCGGGAGAGAAAGAGGAAAGAAGAGGAGAAGAATGAGGAGGAGGATGAAGAGAAGGAAGGGGAAAAGAAGGCCTGTCGAGGCCGTCTTGGGGCTTCCTGCGGGCTTCTGGGGAGCCTCTTGGAGGCCTCGTCGGGGCCTCTTGGGGGCCTGCTGGGCCTTCTTGTGAGCGAGCCTTTTCGGGGCCTCTGGGGGCTTTGGGGGCCTCAGATGAACCTCTTGGCCTTCGGAGGCCGTCTTGGGAGCCTCTCTGGGCAGTTGTGGGGCCGTCTTGCGGGCCTCTTGGGCTGTCTTGGGGCCTCTTGGCCCGTCCTGCGGGCCTTGGAGGCCTCCTGGGTCGTCCAAGGGCGATCTTGGGAGCATATGGAGCCGGCTTGGAGAGCCGGAAGCCCGAAAGGGCGAACACATTAACATCATTGGAAGACCTGAGTCAAGGCAGTAACTTTTTGGCCTCGTGGAGTTCCTCTTGGAGCACTCTTGGGACCGCTTTGGGGTCGTATTGGCCGTCTTGGAGGCGTCTTGGAGGCCATCTTGGAGGCGGAAGAAGTGAAGATAGTTTCTGTTTTTTCTGTGTGGCCGGCGGGTTGTGCCAGAGGCTGGTCGGAACCGTGTGGGAGGGTGCACAACATTATGTTAGCCAGCGTGGACCTCAAACAGTGTGTGTGTGTTGCTTATGTGGGGCAATATATGTGATGCAACCACGTGGAGCAATCAATGCTGTGCAATCTAGGTGGTGCAGTTTACGTTGTGCAATCAGTTTTAGGAGCATACGATCTGCAATATATGTGGTGCAGTTGATTTCTACAAGCGAGTTGACACAATCCATGCCTTTGCAAACTTCCCACCCACCCACCCGCAATTTGGTTTGCAAAACCCATGCGGCGGCCATTGCGATGCATGCTTGGTGTTGGTTTGTGCATCTCTGTGGCCGCGCTAGCCCGCGCATGCTTGCGCGCACAGCGGCCAGCTAGTTTGGCACGGTCGACGCGGCCGCGGTGTCGCTGACCCTTGGGCACTTCAGTGCAGGCATTCCAGTGCGAGTCGGTGACTTGGGCGGGCGCGGTATCATGGCGACGTCGACAGTGGTAGACATAGATTTCGAGAGCAAGAAAGCGTGGTGACGGGAGGTGGCGCTGACGACGGCAAGGCCACAGACGGCGCCGTTGCTGATCACGCCCGCCGATACCGAGTGATGAGTCCTCTGCATAGGCGGTGAAGTTATTGTGAAGGCGTGAAGACATGAGTCGCCCGCGCGGCCGATACATGCGATTGGCCCGCGCCGTACTATTTTTGCCGACGATCAAAGCATGCCCCCCCCCAAAAACAAAATTGTGCGCAAGGGCCGCGTACCAGTGAGAATTCGACATGCGGCGCGAGATGCCCCGCTTGTCAGAAAAGTATTGAACATGTGGAAAAGACACCTATGTTTTTTGAATTCCGCAAGAGAGCGCGACCGCACGTTTTGTGACATCTGAGATGTTTGCAAAGCCGGTGGCGTTTACAGTTTCTCGGGGCAACACGATTATGAAACCCCTACGAAACCTCTGGTTGTTCAATGATTTCGGAATTCGCGCGCGTCGCCGCGCGCGACCACGGGGCCCTAACCCGACGCAAATTACATATCGCGAGAGGGGGACTGTTGAGTCCGGCTTCGGTAGGGGGTATGGTATATGTTGATCATTGTTTTGGAAACGAGAGTCCATGTGACGCAAGTATGTGGGACAACCGGTGTTGTGCAATATATATATATATATATATATATATATATATATGTATGTATGTATGGAGTAATCTTCGTGGTCCATTATATGTGGTACGATCTATGTTGTGTTATTTATGCTGTACAGCAGAGGTGGTGCAACACGTGTTGTACAACGTTTGGGGTGCAATCTATGTCGTGCAATTGATTTTAACAAACGGGTTGACACATCCCGCGCTCCCTTCAAACATCCAACCCACCCACCCGCAACTTGGTTTGCAAAACCCACGACGACGATGACGACGCCGACGACGACGGTGACGACGACGTCAACGACGACGACGACGTCAACGACGACGACGACGACGACGGCGACGGCGGCGACAACGACGACACCGACGACGACGACGACGACGCCGACGCCGACGACGACGACGAAGACGACGACGACGTCGCCAACGAAGACGACGACGAGGGAGGAAGGAGGACGACGACGGCGACAACGACGACAACGGCGACAACGACGAGGGAAGAGGGAGGACGGCGACGACGCGAACGACGAAGAAGGAGGAAGGACGGCGACGCCGACGACGACAACGACGAGGGAGGAAGGAAGACGACGACGACGACGACAACGACGACAACGACGACGACGACGACGGCGACGAAATAGGAGGGACGACGACGAGACGTCGACGACGGACGACGACGACGAGGGAGGAGGAAGAAGGACGACCACGGCGACAACGACGACGGAAACGACCACGACGCCAACGAGGACGACGACGACGAACACGAGGAAAGACAGAGGACGACGTAGGCGACGACGACAACGACGACGCGGGAGGAGGGAGGACGGCGACGACGACGACGACGACGCAAGAGCGCGCGCGCACGCTTTTGTTGAAAATCCGTGTTGCGAAACCTTGTGTGTTTGTAAGCTTTTTGGACACACGATTTTGAAATCCTTCCGAAACCGATTCTTTTCGAAGGATTTCGGCATACGCGCACGACGACGCGCGCGTCAGCACTTCGCCTCGTCCGGTTTATTGCAGAGGATTCTCGCGACGGCAACGCGCGCTAGGGCGTTTTCGACAGATTTCGACATGCGCGCGCGAAGCCCAGTTAAATTAGCAAATTGTGAAAAATCTTGAAATCCGATGGTTTTTCTAAGATTTTGCATAAAGCTCGCCGGCAGAAGCTTTTTTAGCAAATCAGTGTGCGAAACCTTGTTTTGGTATATTTTTATACGGAAACTGATTGCGAAATCCTTCTGTCACCGAAGGTTTTTGACGTGTTTCGGCATGCGCGCGCGACGACGCGCCGCGTGCGCAACAACGTCCCATTTTTTTGCTCCCAGGGATTCGCGAAACGAGCAATGTTAAGAACAACAAATGTTCACCGCATAGTGTGATCAACAAGGGAATCTCAGGCTGGGGGACACCGCTCCCCCCGGGATAGCGCAAATTCATATTTCGGATGAACATGTGATCAGAATCGTGTATGATTTACGTACCCGAAAAAGGGGATTGATAACGCGGGGGGGTGGGGTAGATCCTAATCTGTTTTTAGAATGGAGAGTCCATTCTGCTGAACTTGAAGTCGTCATCTCCAATGCTCTCGCAAACATCCCACCCACCCACCCGCAACTTGGTTTGCAAAACCTCTTAAGACCGACTACGACGACACCGACGGCTGCACCGACGACAACGACTACGACGACACCGACGACGTTTCCGACGACTTCGACGACGACAACGACGCCGACGACGACGACGACGCCAACGAAAGCGACGACGAGGGAGGAGGAAGGACGACGACGGCGACAACGACGACAACGACGACAACGACGACAACGACGAGGGAGGAGGGAGGGCGACGACGCGAGCGACGAAGAAGGAGGAAGGACGGCGACGCCGACGACGACAACGACGAGGGATGAGGGATGACGACGACGACAACGACGACGACGACGACGACGACGGCGACGGCGACGAAATAGGAGGGACGACGACAAGACGCCGACGACGGACGACGACGACGACGAGGAAGGAGGAGGAAGGACGACCACGGCGACAACGACGACGGAAACGACCACGACGGCCAAAGAGACGACGACACGAACAACGAGAAAGACAGAGGACGACGTAGGCGACGACGACGACGACGACGACGCGGGAGGAGGGAGTACGGCGACGACTACGACGACGACGACGCAAGAGCGCGCGCGCACGCTTTTGTTGAAAATCCGTGTTGCGAAACCCTGGATTTTTATAGTTCCTTCGGAGACACGATTTTGAAATCCTTCCGAAACCGATGGGTTTTGAAGGTTTCCGGCCTACGCGCGCGACGACGCGCGCGTCTGCACTTCGTCCCATTTGTTGCAGAGGATTCTCGCGACGGCACACGCGCAAGGGCGTTCGACAGATTTCAACATGCGCGCGCGAAGCCCGTTTAATAGCATTTTGTGAAAATCTTGAAAAACCGATGGTTTTCTTAAGATTTTGCAAAAGCTCGCGCGGAAGCTTTTTTAGCAAATCAGTGTTGCGAAACCCTGTGTTTTGGTATATTTTTCGGAAACTCGATTGCGAAATCCTTCTGGCACCGAAGGTTTTTGACGTGTTTCGGCATGCGCGCGCGACGACGCGCGCGTGCGCACTTCGTCCCATTTTTTGCCAGGGATTCGCGAAACGTGCTATGTTAGAACAACAAATGTCACCGCATAGTGTTTTCTTACAAGGGAACCCCAGGGGGGGATACCGGCCGGCCTGGGATAGTGTAAATTCATATTCATGATGGACATGTGGTCAGAATCATATATGATTTACATACCCAAAAGGGGTACCGATAACGCCGGGGGGTAGATCATATTCTGTTTTTTTTTTTAAAGAAAGAAAATATATAGTGAGCCCTCTGTGTGGTGCAAGCTACGTTGTGCAATATGTGGTGTGCAACCTATGCGGAGCAATCTAGGTGGTGAAAGATATGCGATGCAAGCTACGTGAGGCAATCTAGGATGTGCAGTATATGTTGGCCACTACGTTGTTCAATATCTGATGTGCAATCCAGGTTGTGCCATCCATGTTGGGCAGTATATGTGATGCTCTCTTTGTGGTGCAACGTATGGTCTGCAATATATGCTGCGCAATCTATGTGGTGCAATCTAGGTTGTGCAATATGTATTGTGCAACCTGTATGGTGCAATCTGGCGGCGACGATCGGCGGCGGCGGCGACGGGGCGGCGACGGCGGCAATATAGCCGCCAGACGCACAGGCAGGCCCAGTTACTGGCGGCGACGGGGCGGCGACGGGCACAACAGAGCCGCCAGACCGATACACAGGCCCAGTTCCTTAGAAAAGAAACAAGAAACCCTAAGTGCAAGCACTGTTTGGAGATAAACGTCGAGCACGCCAAGCACCCCTGTGATGAATGCAGAGGGCTGCGGATCAATCTGCCAGCGGCAAGTTCCGCCACCGTGCCAGCCCAGCATTCTGAGTGGCGACTGTTTGAGGGGGCACGGGAGGCCGTCACGTGTGACACCTCGTGTTCCCAGGCTTGGGAGGGCCGTGATGAAGATGATGAGGGTGAGCATGAGGCTGAGGCTGAGGATGAGGATGAGGATGAGGATGAGGATGATGATGATGATGATGATGATGACGAGGAGGACGAGGAGGACGAGGAGGATGAGGATGATATGATGCTGATGCTGATGCTGATGCTGATGCTGCTGATGGTGATGATGATGATGATGATGATGATGATGATGATGATGATGATGATGAAAATGGTAATGATGATGATGGCGAGGAGGAGGAAGAGGAGGAGGAGGAGGAGGAGGAGGAGCAGGAGGCGGCGGAGGAGGAGAAGGAGGAAGAGAAAGGCTGTCACAGTTGACACATTTCATTGTCATCTCTTGCGGAGCCCTAATGGAGTTCATTTGACCGGTCTTGGGGCTACCTTGGTCTCCTGTGGGGCAGTCTTCAGGGCTCCTTGGGACCGTCTTGGGGCCGTCTTGGGGCTCTTCGGCCGTCTTGGGGCTCCCTTGGGCCGCTTCTTGGGGCGATCTTGGCCGTATCGGGGGGTGTCTGGGGACCGTCTCGGGGCAGTCTTTGGCCGTCGAAAGGCCTTCTGAGGTCGTCTTGGATCCCCCTGGGGACCCTCTTGGGCCTGTTGGGGCCGTCCGTCTTGGATGCCACTTGGGCCATCGTGGAGTCCTAGTGGGCCATCTTGAGACCCTCTGGGGGGCCTCTTAGGCCGTCTTGGGGCCATCTGGGATGCTTCTTGGGCCGTCTTGAGCTGAGAGGAGCTCGAAGAGGCGAGAAGGCGAACATTTGTCAAACACCGAAGGGAGCTCAACGGTTTGGGCGTCTTCGGACCCTGTTGGGGGTCCTCTGGTGGCCCTCCAAGGCCCTCTTGGGCCGCCTTGAGGCCATCTTGGGCCGTCTTCGAGGCATCGTGGCCCATCTTGGCGGCCTTAGTTGCCTGCCCGGGCCGTCTTGGAAACTCGGGAGGCGGATCCATAGTTTATTACCTGGGATCGTGGCCTCTGGAGCGCAAATGTTTCATCGTCTTTTACCCAGAGATCGTGGCCTCGGGAGGGGGGACGGAAAAAAAACAAATGTTAACTGACAGCCCTTGGCATACTACCACGCCTCAACTACCAAGGTGGCAAACGGTGAGGCGATATCTCCGAGTCCACCTTGGCCTTTGGGGCCGCCAGCACTCCGCGCCGAGCAGCTGATCGTCCACCGACCCGCAGCGAAGCTGCGCCTTCAGGACGGTCTAGACATACAGCAGCTTGTGCCGCCGCAGCAGTGCAGGGCCCGTACGCCGGAACTGCCCTCGTGCAAGTCGTGATAGGGAGGGAGAAGTACTGCGTTTGGTACTTGCGACCTGACGGACGGCAACCAAGGCCACGGCGTCGACCTGCAGTCGTACGTCCACGCGTCTCCTCACGGAGAGGGCTACTGCGCTCGGAACCCGTCCAACGACCCGTGCCTCGGCTGGCAGGTGTTCGGCGATGGCTGCACCGATTGTGCAGCCAACGGCATGAGCAGCAGCGCCCAGGCGTCTGCTTCCCTGCAGTCCACCGACGCGCAGCGAAGCTGCGCTTTCTGGGACGGCTTGGACATCCAGGGCAGCGTGTGCCCGCAGCAGTGGCAGGGCCAGTACGCCGGGACTGCCTCGTGCAAGTCGTGCTGGGAGGGAGAGGACTGCGGGTGGACTTGCGACCTGACGGACGGCACCAAGGCCAGCGTCGACCTGCAGGCGTACGTCCACGCGTCTCACGGAGAGGGCTAATGCGCTCGGAACCCGTCAAACGACCCGTGCCTCGGCTGGCAGGTGTTCGGCGATGGCTGCACCATTGTGCAGCCTGAGGCTTTCATCTTTGAGCAGCTCGGCCCAGGCGACCCAGGCGCCTGCTTCCCTGCAGTCCAACGACACCGACGCGCAGCGAAGCAGCGCCCTTCTGGACGGCATGGACATTCACTGCGCAGCGTGTGCCCGCATAATTGTCATGGCAGTACGCCGGAACTGCCACTTGCAATTCGTGCTGTGAGGGAGAGGGCCTGACGGACGGCACCAGCCAGCGTCGACCTGCAGGCTTACGTCCACGCGTCTCCGACTCACGGAGCGGGCAACTCCACGGAACCCGACCAACGACACCTTCCACGGCTGGCAGTGTTCGGTCGATGGCTGCACACGATAGTGCAGCCATTGCAATGTCCGCAGCCCCCAGTGCGCCTGCTTCCCCTGCAGTCCTCCGACCGCAGATCGAAGCTGCGCCTTCTGGGACGGCTTGGACATCAAGGGCAGCGTGTGCCCGCAGCAGTGGCAGGGACAGCACGCCGGAACTGCCTCGTGCAAGTCGTGCTGGGAGGGAGAGGACTGCGGGTGGACTTGCGACCTGACGGACGGCACCAAGGCCAGCGTCGACCTGCAGGCGTACGTCCACGCGTCTCACGGAGAGGGCTACTGCGCTCGGAACCCGTCCAACGACCCGTGCCTCGGCTGGCAGGTGTTCGGCGATGGCTGCACCGATTGTGCAGCCAGTGGCATGAGCAGCAGCCCCCAGGCGCCTGCTTCCCTGCAGTCCACCGACGCGCAGCGAAGCTGCGCCTTCTGGGACGGCTTGGACATCAAGGGCAGCGTGTGCCCGCAGCAGTGGCAGGGACAGCACGCCGGAACTGCCTCGTGCAAGTCGTGCTGGGAGGGAGAGGACTGCGGGTGGACTTGCGACCTGACGGACGGCACCAAGGCCAGCGTCGACCTGCAGGCGTTCGTCCAAGCGTCTCACGGAGAGGGCTACTGCGCTCGGAACCCGTCTAACGACCCGTGCCTCGGCTGGCAGGTGTTTGGCGATGGTTGCACCGATTGTTAGGAAGTCGGGTCGCCTCAATCCTCCTGCATGCAAGCAGCTGGTCCATCCGAGTAGAGCTTCTCCTAACGGGCCCAGGGGGCGCGCCTCGTTCGTCGCGCCGACAGCGCGCGACGCCGTACAGCTTGTGTAAGGGAATTTGACGTGCAGAGCGAGTGTTCTGCAAGCTTCAGTGTCCACGGTGGCAAAGATGAAGACATTCGCGTCATCCAGTTGGTCGGAGGTTAATAGAACCCGCACGTTGCCAAGTCGATTAGCGAATTGCCACTTGTTGATTCTCGAGAAGGTTTGCGGCCGCATGTTTGCGGGCTTGCGCCCGCCAGGTGTGGTCCCCGGGTCGTTTTTACTACAGGGTGTTTTGCGGAAGGGGGTTTTGCCCCTGAGTTGCAATCTATGTGATGTATGCGATGTGGTGCAATGTATGTGTTGCACTCTATACGTGTGATGCAAGATGTTTGGTGCAGCATGTACGGTGCACTCTGCGCAGTGCATGCCATTCGATGCAAGCTATGGGGCGCCATCTGCGTGGTGCAACCTGTTGGGTGTGGGCAATGTGTGCTTCGAGCCGCCAGCAAACCGTATTAGGTGCAGCATTTGGGGTGCACTCTGCGTAGTGCATGCCATTCGATGCAAACTATGGGGCGCAATCTGCGTGGTGCAATCTACTGAGCGCAATTTGCGTTTGCAATCTATGGGGTGTGAACCACTCCGCTGAACTTGAAGTCGTCATCTCCACTGCTCGCGCAAACATCCCACCCACCCACCCGCAACTTGGTTTGCAAAACCTCTCAAGACCGACTACGACGACACCGACGACAACGACTACGACGACACCGACGACGTTTCCGACGACTTCGACGGCGACAACGACGCCGACGACGACGAAGACGACGACGACGACGCCAACGAAGGCGACGACGAGGGAGGAGGAAGGACGACGACGGCGACAACGACGACAACGACGACAACGACGAGGGAGGAGGGAGGACGGCGACGACGCGAACGACAGAGAAGGAGGAAGGACGGCGACGCCGACGACGACAACGACGAGGGAGAAGGGATGACGACGACGACAACGACGACGACAACGACTGAGCGCAATTTGCGTTTGCAATCTATGGGGTGTGAACAGTGTGTGCTTCGCGCCGCCAGCCAACGGACGGGGACGCCCACGAGGCGCCCACGGACGGCGGCCAGGCGAAGCCCTGGCAACCCAGCCAAGGCGCGAGGCGCCCCCACGGGCGGCGCCAGCGCAGGAGGCGCCCGCGGGCGGCGACCCGGCGAGCGCCGTGTGAACCCGCCCGAGCACTTGCGCAGAAGCCGCGCAAGCTGCTGCTAAAGATCTGGCCATCGCTGCAGACGTGGGACCCCTGCCCCCCTGCAGAGTCCTGCAATGTGGGACCGGGCTGTGGCGGAGTGGGTTTCGGCCCCACACCCGGTTTTGTCGTTCTTTGCGGGGGGTTATTGTATGTGCATAGCGGTGTGGAAATTTCCCCCGCCCGTTTTTCCACATGGAGAGCTTACACCACCGCTGGGGTGGTTCACCCCGTTTTATGACTACGGCGAGCGGGTTCTTGTGGTCTGGGACACCTCGCCTCATCGCAGCATCGCTTGAGGAAGCGCTCTCTCCGCGCATCTCGATTCACAAGCGCGCCGTGACAGAGGTCACAACCATTAGCCACGCTGCAGTAGTGCAAGCACTGTTCGGGGAAGAAACGCAGAATCGGCAGTCTGTGTCGACGGGGGCGCCCCCCGGCCCTGTCTGCGTCTCCTCGTCGTCAGCGGCGGGCGCTTTTCAGCGTCTGGTGACCTGGGTCTCCGATCTGGCCCGATCCGGCGCAGCCCTAGGCCGGTTCGGCATCGATCCGACTCGAGAAAATCTTCGATTCGAGCTCTGGTTTGTGATTTTGGAGCCGACGCGGCGACTGCCGACTTGGCCCCGATTCCATCTATTACGACGGGGTTCCGACCTCGACCCGGCTTCCCGATCCAAAGCTGGCCCCATGTTGGGCGGCCCTCGGGGCCGTGGGGGAGGCTCCGCTGGTGCGCTCATGTTCGTGATCATTGAGTCTCGGGTGTGTGCTTGTTTCGAATTGGAAGTGAGAAAAGAGGAAAGAGGAAGCGGAGGAAGGAAGAAGGAGGATGAGAGGGGACGAAGAGGGAGGACGGAGGAGAGGAGCGATGGGAGAGGATGTGTGAGTGAGGGAAGGTGGAAGGTTAGCTCTGTGTCGATCCTGTTTCTGCGTCTAGATCCGACATTCTCTGTGCCCCAGCCATGCCACACTTGGTGACTGCGGCGCTATCTTCATCCGTTGCTCTTTTGACTCGAGTGTCTTGCTGGGCGATCAGCTCTGTCCCACTGTTCACATCACCTGACAAGTTTGATCCATGGCAGGGTCGATTTTGTCCAAGGCGCCTACGGCGAACCAGCGCCGCCCCCTACGCCCATGCGGCCAAACATAAGCTAAATTCTGACCAAGCTATTGGACTATGTGTGTTTCCCAGCCGTTGTGGAACCCATTGGGGGAACAGTCGGGAGAGAGAGAGAAAAGAAGAGGAGAGGAATGAGGAGGATGACGAAGAGAAGGAAGGGGAAAAGAAGGCCTGTCGAGGCCGTCTTGGGGCTTCCTGCGGGCTTCTGGGGAGCCTCTTGGAGGCCTCGTCGGGGCCTCTTGGGGGCCTCCTGGGCCGTCTTGTGAGCCTTTTCGGGGCCTCTGGGGGCTTTGGGGGCCTCAGATGGACCTCCTTGCCTTCGGAGGCCGTCTTGGGAGCCTCTCTGGGCAGTTGTGGGGCCGTCTTGCGGGCCTCTTGGGCTGTCTTGGGGCCCTCTTGGCCTGTCCTGCGGGCCTTGGAGGCCTCCTGGGTCGTCCAAGGGCGATCTTGGGAGCATATGGAGCCGGCTTGGAGAGCCGGAAGCCCGAAAGGGCGAACACACTAACATCATTGGAAGACCTGAGTCAAGGCAGTAATTTCTAGGCCTCCTGGAGTTCCTCTTGGAGCACTCTTGGGACCGCTTTGGGGTCATATTGGCCGTCTTGGAGGCGTCTTGGCGGCCATCTTGGAGGCGGAAGAAGTGAAGTTGGTTTATGTTTTTTCTGTGTGGCTGGCGGGTTGTGCCAGAGGCTGGTGGGAACCGTGTGGGAGGGTGCACAACAATATGTTAGCCAGCGTGGACCTCAAACAGTGTGTCTCTCGCAATAGATGTGGTGTTGCTTATGTTTTGCAATCTATGTGATGCAACCACGAGGAGCAATCGATGCTGTGTAATCTATGCGGTGCAGCTTACGTTGTGCAATCCGTTTGAGGAGCATACGATGCGCAATATATGTGGTGCAGTTGATTTCTACAAGCGAGTTGACACAATCCATGCTCTTGCAATCATACCACCCACCCACCCGCAACTTGGTTTGCAAAACCCATGCGGCGGCGATTGCGATACATGCTTGGTGTTGGTTTGTGCATCTCTGTGGCCGCGCTAGCCCGCGCATGCTTGCGCGCACAGCGGCCAGCTAGTTTGGCACGGTCGACGCGGCCGCGGTGTCGCTGACCCTTGGGCATTTCAGTGCGGGCATTTCAGTGCGGGTCGGTGACTTGGGCGGGCGCGGTATCATGGCGACACTGACAACGGTAGACATGATTTCGAGAGCAGCGGTGGTGACGGAGGTGGCGATGACGACGGCAAGGCCAATGACGGCGCCGTTGTTGATCACGCCCGCCGATACCGATGCTGATGTCCTCGCGTTGGCGGTGCAGCTTTTTGAAGGAGTTAGACGTGAGCGCGCGCGGCCGATACATGCGATTGGCCCGCGCAGTATTATTTGGCACGGATCATTCCCCCTCAAAAAAAACTTGCGCGCAAGGGCGTCCAGGGAGGAGTTCGACATGCGGCGCGAGAGGCGCGCTTGGCAGAAGTTGATGAACAGGTGGAAACCAAAAAAACATATGTGTGTTTGATTCCGCAAGAGCGCGAGCGCAAGTTGTTGTTGACATCTGATTGTGTAAAACCGTGCGTTTATATGTTTCCGGGGCACTCGGTTTTGAAACCACTACGAAACTTCAGGTTGTTCAATGATTTCGGAACTCGCGCGCGACGACGCGCGCGGCCACGGGACCATACTCCGACGCAAATTACATATCGCGAGAGGGGGATTGTTGAGTCCGGCTTCGGTAGGGGGGTATCGTCTATGTTGATCATTATTCTGGAAGCGAGAGTCCATGTGACGCAAGTATGTGGGAAAACCGGTGTTGTGCAATCTATATATACATATGTTTATATATATACATGTGTATATGGAGTAGTTCTCGTGGTGCAGCATATGTGGTGCGATTTATGTTGTGCTATTTATGCTGTACAGCAGACGTGGTGCAACACGTGTTGTGCAACGTTTGGGGTGCAATCTATGTCGTGCAATCCACTCTGCTGAACTTGAAGTCGTCATCTCCACTGCTCGCGCAAACATCCCACCCACCCACCCGCAACTTGTTTTGCAAAACCTGTTAGGACGGACTACGACGACACCGACGACAACGACTAGGACGACACCGACGACGTTTCCGACGATTTCGACGACAACGACGCCGACGACGTCGAAGACGACGACGACGACGCCAACGAAAGCGACGACGAGGAAGGAGGAAGGACGACGACGGCGACAACGACGACAACGACGACAA